TAAGCAAATTAAATCAAAATAGTAGTCGTTGGGTATACCGCTCGAAAAAATTACACTAAACAAATATTATTCTGTACGACTTTTACTTAGTGTAGTATCTATATTCATTCTTATTTTTGTCACCCAAAGTCAATCTCAGCTTTGATTCAAAGACTTTAAATGATGATTACTGAATTTTAACACGACATGTTTAACGTTCCAAATTAGATAATGTTCCATATATACATATATATATCCTCTTATCTACCACATTTCTTATATGGTATGAAAAGGTTCTTAACACCTGTAGATTCTGTGAAATGTAGACTGAAACGTTCACACATTTGATCTGACTGTGATTGCCAGGAAAACAGTCTAGTACCACTACCATTTGAATGTAATTAAAACGAATGAGATCTTAGAACTTGATTCAAAAGATATTACAATGTATGACAATAGGTTTAATGTGTATGGATGAGCTTAGGGCACATTCTTCAGGAATGACGTTATAGCTTCTAATAAAAAATACTATATTTTTATATATCATTATTTATATTGTATATTAATAAAGTTTTATTCATTTGTGCAGATTTTTATAAAACCATGCTTTTGATTATATCGACACTAGTTAGTACTTAAAATATGTTGTCGATTATAATATGATTCAGATTCAAATAAAAATTATATTTAGCAGAAAAAATGAACTTATCTTTAAGTTCAAAACCAAAACAGAAAACAAGAATAACGAACACCGTTTTAGTGAGGAAATCAAGTCTATTAGTCAGATACTGAGTATATACATGTGTTTACTTTAACGAAGATATGAAACATTCTTGATGAGGTAATCAAATTCTAGACACCTTTCGGATAAACTTGAAAACCAGCGTCATGTATGCAATGCAATAAAAACAAATCTCAACTCAGGTGTGTTGAATACCCTGTAATGTGTTTTCTGAAAGTAAGTGCAAGAGAAGAATGGCAACTAAGAGCAGATAACATTTGCGGTGATTCACAAAATTAATGATGATAACAATCTGACTCAATTTTGCCAAGCACTTCATAGCAGCGAAAGGTTAATGCAGAGTGAACGATTTGTAATCTTAAAATCATTTCATTTTCTTTCCGAATCGAAAGAAATTTGTCCAGTCAGAGCATGGTAGAGTATCTTAAAAATTGGTTTAATAGAAAAATGTTATCAAATAATTTTTAAAAAGTATTGTTCAATAAATCAAAAATGTTTCAGGGTCCATAAAAAGCCCAAAATTAAGTAACAATCCATTATGAATTTATCTTTGAACAACGTAAATGCTTTTCAATTCCATTAGCTTTTAGTGAAACCACCTTGAATTTTATTTCGAACAATTAGTCCAATACGCGAAGTGTAGTTAAATCTATTCACGATGTATCTTTTTCAAAGAAACTAACGAAAATAATTTAAAAATAATAATTCAAATGTCATTGTCAGCAAACTACAGTTATGAGCAGACAAACCTACTAACTGCTGTTCATGTGAGATACATGAATAAAGTTTTGGTTTGGTGCTCAAACAGAAATGCTCAGGTTCCTTTCTGATACTTTCGACAATGTCTTCAGACTAGCCACAACCCATGCAGGCCGTTAGCGCAAAGTACATACCTAGATACAAATTTGTATCTGCATATCGTCGAGAATTGTCGAATATGGGTTAACCACGTTTTATTTTGTAAGCACTTTTAACGGGAATTGCTTTAGATCGCTTCGTATTGTGTGTCTATGCTCGCTCTTTTGAACGTGATAGATACTTTTGGCACATAACGAATATACGGCAAGCATAGAAACCACAGAAATCACAGAGAAAACAAGAAAAGTTACACTAAAAACTACGAACCTGACAAATTTGGAGTTATAAAAATGTGAACGTGACTACGACTGTGTGCGGAGTGCGGTGAGTGGTGAGTGGTGTGGTGTGCGGAACTGGAGACACACAGAAATCTTGTCAGTATATTATATTTTTTATGCATATTTACAAAGGCAAACAATCATTTAAAAACAATTAAAAATGAATACAAAACAAAAAAATTAATGAAGTCTATAAAGAAATGATTAAAATCATTTAGTTATATTTTGTATCTAAATCTTTCCATTGGTTTCGTTTGTGAGAAAGTTGATTTCCCGCTTAAGACATATTTCATATGCAACTTATTTTATATAAAAATACGTGGTAGAAA